GTTTCTACCAGGGGTGGTCCGGAGCTTTCCTACAGTATCAATTGACACTTTATCAAACGCCTCTATCGGCGTATCTGTAATTAACATTGGCTCTTTTGTTTTATGCCGGTCAATTTTTTTCTCGAGGCATTTCGGGCAACTTCTGACGTAATCCAGCACATCATTGCGTAGTCCAGCCCAATGATACCGGGCCCTTATCTTTTGATAAGTTTGATTGACTCTCTTATGTCCTCCAATAAGACTATCATGTAGAGTTCGGATAATCTCTTTTCTTTCGTCCTCTGGGGGTATAATTGATTTACCGTAGCAAATTGTAACCTTTACAGGACTGTTTTCGAATACTCTTATTAATATTTCGGTTAATAGTCCGGGCCCTAGGTCATCAGAATAATCTCCTCTCCGAGCTATACGAAAACCGTTCAGTTTTTTCTGCAGGAGCAATTTTTTTAAGTTTATTAACCCTATTTTAATGGCTTCTATACTAGTGGAGTCGTGGTACTTATCCTTAACGACGATTGAGAAGATGTATTTATTTTTGTACTCGGTCGTTAGAATCTGTCCAATTTTTGGCTTTTGATTCTTCATGTTCCGTAAGTCTATCGCTCCAATTTCCTCTAATAGCTTGGAGACAGAGGTTTTATTGTCACAATTCCGTGAAATAAAATGAACAATGTTATCCCTCTTATAAGTCAAACACTGTTGGCTTGTGCTGACATTATTTTGAAGAATATAATTCGCAGGTCCCAACGTTTGGTCACCGCTAGTACCCTCGCTACTAGAAGTCGGATTTCGATAATTTTCGGGTCTTTTATATTGATTTAATGGTCCCAAGGGTGGGGGTACCATGAGAAACAATTCATCCTCTACGGGTGCTTGTGAAAAATGTAATTTTACCGGCGTTTCATCTTTCGTAGCCGATTCCTCAGTGATAGCGTTTAGTCCCTTGAAACTCACTATGGGGCGTCGCCCCTGAGTCATGGGTGTACTTTTGGCAGTTGGTGCTCCTACCTTTATGCTCGGAGTCACTGAAATTTCTCTATGACGCGCCACTTCCGTCATGTCGTCACGGTTCTCTCTGTTGATTTCGCTTGAATACTCTGCGTGTTGCCTCTGGTTTTCACGTGACGCGTCATTTTCATCGCTATCACTACTCTGTTCAATTTGAGAGGCAACGACCCTTTGAGATTTTTCCACCAATTTTTTTATTCGTCCAGCCATTTCTTCATTAGTCTCATTTTCGTCGTCGTATGGGTCGAATTCCCATAGTGTTTCCTGTATTTCCGGAAACGGTTCGTCACCGTCTGAAAAATGGGAAGGCATCTCTATGGTTTTGTTATCTTGGGCTAGACCCAAATCGTCCCAAAAGTACGATACGTTCTCCAAGCTCCTATGTCGGCGTAGACTGGCTTCGAATTTCTCTGCCGATGTCCAGACTTCGTCTGCTGTCAGACTGGTGGTTGGGCCCTTCTCTAATCCATCGTGGTCCCCTTGACCTGCGCCGTTTGCGTTTTCCTCGGAGGTTTCATCCTCAGTTTCCTCAGAACTCGTGCTAGTTTGGGGTCCAGTGATCGGTATTTCAATTGACTCTTCGGTTGTTTCAGATAGAGCTCCCTCAGTCGTCGTACCGCTAGCCTTATTTGTCTTCAGACCCTTCATTTCAGATTCTTGATCCTCACTCGCTTCTATTTCCATTTCTTTACCTCTTCTTAGTCCGCTATATCGCGGGTCCTCTATGGGAGGCCGGTTGTCTGTACTGTCATGAGCTTCTTTTGCGTCCCTATCCTCTACACCAGTAGAGGATATTACAGAACGTCTCGAGGAACTGGGCCGTAGTTTGCTCATATCCGCCTCAGAGTCCGACATAATCGAACTTTGACTCTCTCGGTCCAATCGATTTAAAATTTCTTGCACGCGCCAATGTAATTTAGGACGGCCCGACTTTTGTTTCTCGTCCTCATTCGCATTTTCATTTACAACTATTTCTATTTCGGAAGTATTTGCCACGGACTCATAGTTTTGGTTGGTCAGTTGTTTTTTCTGTTGGATCTCCTTGGTGGGTTCTGTACTTGACTCGTCTGTGGGAAGTTCCGCTTCGTAATTCTTTAGCTCTTGGACTCTTTCCGATCGCATCTTTTCTTTATCGGCTGGCGCCCAGGTTTTCTCGTGTATTTCAGTATCGATAGCATTTGGGCCAGCATTCTTAGTATCTTTCGAGGTCGTAGCCTTTTACTTCTGGTTCTTTCTGCTACGGTGCTATGATCCAGCTGCGGTCTTCCTTTATTCGTTTTGGCCCCTACTGGCCTGCCTTTTGGTCTAGGTTCGCTGGATATGGTGTGCGCTCTTCTTCGTATTGCTACCGGTTGTTCTGGATCTTCTTCGGTCTGTTCTTTAGTGACTTTCCTTTTACTCACTTTATTTCTCAGCATCATTACTTGAATTTTCGGTATGTTTTCATTCAGTTCCTTCTCTTTTTGTTCCTTTTCATCCAAGTATTCTTGTAAATTTACCGGGTTCCTTGACAGTGCATCGGCATTACAGTTCAATTTTCCCGCCTTATACTTAAAGGTGTATTGGTAATCCGTGAACTTGAACATCCATCTCATAAGGCGTTGTCCAGGGTCCTTGCGCGTATGCATATAGTTCAAAGGTTCATGGTCACAGACTAGCGTGAATTTGTTGCATAAGAGATACATGCAATACAAGTCGGGACCACTCGGAGCTAAAAACGGTCTAACACGTGCCCGTTTTGAAGAGACATCAAAACTGGCACGTAACAACCTCTAAGTTAATTTTGTTAATATTTGCAAGATAATTAAAAAGCACGAGGAATACACTCGAAGAGGATGAAAGAAAAGAGAAAAAAAAAACTCAGTCAGCAAAAGAAATTCGAGGGTGTTCAAATTTCCCGCTGACTTCAGAGAAATCAAACGCGTGAGAAAGAGCGAAAATTTCTTCCTCGCCAAAGCTCAAGTTATACGGCGGAGGAAACGCTTCGGGTTTCAACTCCACGTGCCGTTCCAAAAAATTCCAGAGCCAACACGTTTATATATATATAAAAAAAATACGTATCAATAAAATTAAGAAAGGACACAATGATTTATCGGCAACTAATCGAAGGCACGAAACCACGCTCTGCTACCATTTGTTACGTGACAGTTTTGATGTTTTTTTCAAAACGACCACGTGTTAGACCGTTTTAGCTCCGAGTGGTCCTGATTCGGGCGAATTGAACCTTCGGTACGGTACCCCGACCGTCTCAGCGAATGGATCGCGTTTTTGCCGACAATGTCCGAAATTCGTCCACGCGAGGGAAAATCTATTTAAATTATTAAAATTGATTATTAAAATGAAAATACACGGGTAACATAAGATAGATTTATATATATTTAGATACATAAGATAACATGTCTAGTATTGATACCTCTATCGCGTTACTATCTAATTTACGATTTATTAAATAAATATTCTAAAATACGCGGTCGGTCGTCGTTACACACCCGATCCCGGTACGCAAACAAATGGATTCACCGAAAGAGGAACACTGAATATAGTAAGTAGTTATCGAAATAAAGAGAGAGAAAACAAGGAAGACATTTCGCTTTATCGAGAATAGAGCGTGGAAGTACTCACTCTGTTGTTTTGGTCCTTTTTTTGGTTTATATAAGTCTGATTTGTGGTGTTAGCTTTATTATTTGAATTCAAAACACGATAATTAATGGCAAACTCTTTTCTCTCTTGTGCTCGGAGACTTAAATCAAGTCGATTTAATTAATACTCTGGCGAAAATAGCGTCCGTACTTTAGAACCGACTAATCGCAACTACCCGCGCGCCTGCCTCCCTACCGCAGCCTACTGTCCCTCTCTCCTTCCTATTTTTCGTCTCCTTCTCATTGCTTTGTCTCTGCTGCAAAGGCTCAACAAGCGCGCACACGTGCGCTGCTGACTTCAGCAGCTTATCGCTGAAGTCTTGGCCTTGACGCTTTTACTATGTGTCGAGACTTTGTTTTAGTCACTGCTCAATTTCTGTCACATAACAGAATACAACCCATATTGGTAAAAATAATAAAAAAATACTTGTTTTTAAATAACAAATAATATTTAGTTTGTTTCACCGAGAAATTCAAAATAGTGTCCGAGAAATGTAGAAGAAACGGTTTTTGGGGGTGAACTTTAGAATTGGTTATCACCTATTAAATCGCTCAATTAACATAAACAAACAGACGCCGATCAACTATTTTTCGATGTACTACAACATAACGAAAAATAAAGAAAATCGGTGAGGTACATCTAAGGTTGTTTCCTTATAAGACGATCCTATTAGTTGAAAACTGCCTATCTCCAGGTATAACAACATCACTTTTTACTCGAACATTTCAGCCACGCAGCACCTGAGAATACCAGAACTTGATAAGTGGCTCAAGTAAGGTCAGCATTGCGAGCCATCATTCTCCGTTTCTTGCGTGTAAAATTTTGGTTCATTTTAATCGTTGTTTGAATGTCTTGTGGGGAGAAGTTAATTATTTTCTCAGTGATTTGAATTCATTATATCAACTGCTATCTTGTTATTCTAAAATCTACGAATAAACATTTGTAAAAAAGACTAAGATGATACGAACTAAACGAATAACAGTCGTTTTATTAACCGACAATGAAATAATATGTATACAGAATTTATTTTACAGCTATTCCTTCTGACCGTAGCGTAATCCTAGTTTTCAATCGTTTCAAAATACACTTACTTTCCTATTTAATTTTCGTCAAATAATATGCTTTATTTAAAACATTTTTACAATATGTAGGTTTATTTTTGACATCAATTTTTAAGTCCAGGAATGATAAGGGCATAAAAAGTAAGAAAACTAAATAACTAATTGAATAAATGAGCAACGATTTTTAAAATGTTATACATTTTTGTAATCACATATTCAAAAATCTATATAAATATTGTATTCTAATTATAATTAATATTATGAATGCATATAGGATTTTAGTATACATACTTAGCATAGCTGGAGAAATGTCGAGCCCAATCCAATGGTGACCTTCTTTATTTAATACACTTCCGCTCATACCTGTTCCACATCCGATATCTAATAGCAAACATTTATTGTTTTTTGGTAATGACAATAATTCCACAGCTCGCTCGGACATCTGTATTTGAATTTTCATAATTCTAGAACTAGAAAAATGTTAAGAAAATTAGTTTTATCTATCTAAATAAAATACTCAATCACCCTTAGGAATAAATGTATTACAACAAAGATAACAATTTTTGCTAGTGTACTTGATAAAAAATTATTTACTATTGCTTATGAATTAATCCATTAGTTATCATAGCTGTTCACGAAAGTAATTCAATACTTACTCGAATAAATATGACTAATTAAGCAAAATATTAAATTTTTCAAATAGAATTAATCAATGTATTAGTAGATTCACTTGCTCTGAGCATTACATTTTTTAAAAACCATGCTCATACGTATTTCTTTGCTTCTTCAGTTACGTACAACGGAAGATACGATCAAATAAATGTGACATATCTTGAAATATATGACAGTTTCGAAAGAAGATTACAGCTATACTTTTTCAAAACTCTCGCAATGAAGTTAACTGGGACAATTTTCAGCAATGAAAAAATAGAGAAAAAAATGATTTCTAGATCATATTTTGATATCAGAACTTATTTTAAAATGTTATATATAATTATATATTAGATATAATTATGAACGTTGTAACGTTTCAACAATTATACGTTACAATGAATTGTTAGAACTCTAAGATACATTTGCAAATTAAATTTCGAAGAGCAAGCAAGAAGTTGTTAACACAGAATAATATACGAGGTGTGTTCAAAAAGTAAGATGACTTTGTATTTTTAAGAAAAAATTATTTATTAATATTTATGTTGTCCCCTTCAAAGTAATCCCCCTCAGATACAATACACTTATACCAACGGTTTTTCCAATCCTCAAAGCACTTCTCATAAGCACTTTTCGGTATAGCCTTGAGCTCTTCCAGCGATGCAGTCTTTATCTCTTCAATCGTTGCAAATCTCAGTCCTTTCATAGGTCTCTTTAGTTTTGAGAACAAGAAAAAGTCACAAGGGGCCAAATCCGGTGAATGTGGTGGCTGAGGCATGATTGTGGTGTTCTTTTTGACCAAAAAATCTCTCACAAGCAAAGATGAGTGAGCAGGGGCATATCGTGATGCAAAAGCCATGAATTGTTTTTCCACAATTCTGGGCGTTTTCTTCGTATTGCTTCTCGCAAACGGCGCATAACTTCAAGATAATACTGTTTATTGACCGTACGTCCATATGGTAAGAACTCCTGATGCAGGACACCATGGTAATCGAAGAAAACAGTGAGCAAAACTTTGACATTTGATCGAACTTGGCGTGCTTTTTTCGGTCTTGACTCATCTGGGCTCTTCCATTGAGACGATTGAACTTTGGTTTCGATATCATAACCATTTACCCATGATTCGTCACCAGTTAAGACCTTTTTGAGTAAATCTGGGTCGTCATTGACGTCATTCAACAGTTCTTGAGCGATGCTCATGCGACGGTTCTTTTGGTCAAAATTTAGCAATTTCGGAACAAACTTCGCTGACACACGTCACATGCCCAAAACGTTAGAAAAAATTTCATGACACGAGCCAAGCGATATATCAACATCCTCAGCAACTTCTCTGATAGTGATTTGACGATTTACCAGAACAATTTTCTTCACCGCTTGAACGTTTTCATCAGTTGTTGACGTGCTTGGGCGTCCAGAGCGAGGCTCGTCATTGGCATCTTCCCGACTATCTTGGATCAGTTTGTACCACTTGTAAACATTTTTTTTACTTAGAACAGTTTCACCGTATGCCACCGTCAATATTTCAAGTATTTCGGAGCACTTTATTGTATTTTTTACACAAAATTTGATGCAAATCCTTTGATCCATATTTTTCGATAACAAGAAATCGCCGAGCACGCAAAACACTTATAACCTTTACGCCTCTCACAACCAAACAAAAAATTTTATACACTTGAAACTTGGTACAGATGTTAAGGAAAAGTGTACCAACATAACAAAACAAAAAAAATCGATAATCGAAAGTACGTTGCCCGTGAAATTTGAAAAGTCACCTTACTTTTTGAACACACCTCGTATAATCAAAGTACAGTAAGTGAAAAGTTTGTGATATAAAAAATTGAATTAAAACTACTGAAGTTTACAATACAAATCACTTCTCGGGGAAAAATTGCCTTACGAAGTTATGAACAAATAAAATTAATTAAATGAATAGGACAAAATTTACAATTAAATCATAAAGATTTTTTTCATCAAAAAATTATTTATGATATACAGAACATTATATAAAATCAAGTTTGCCAATTTCACAGATAGAATTTGAATTATAATACAAGCACACAAAATAAAAAAGTGTTATTCTCGGGCAGGAAATAGTACGTATTTTTATTTTCAGGGTCACTGAATCTATATCCGCTGACCATGTGATGTTCGTATTACCTTTTATTTATATTATTGTTCGTACTCTCGTGATCTGTCGCGTTCATGAGTAAGAATTTGTTTCGTTCTTCAAAATGTTTCTAATTATTACTTTGAAATGAAACAATAAATAATATATATGATTATATAAGTGAGATTTTAAGAAAAGATAGTCTTTACCCTAGTTTCTTATGGTGCGAAGTGTCCCATAGGCAGAGCTTAAGTCTTTCTTATAAAAGGATGTAATTCAGCCCAAGTTTCTCATAGCGCGAAGTGTTCCGTGAGTCGATCAGAAATTACAATAGGAAAAAGAGAGGATTTGCTCAGTTAATCACTTGAGAGAAAGAACTTAGGTATCAGCCAAGTTTATTCAATCTCATGCGCTCACTTTGCAAGGCTAGGAGTGAATGCTAGCCTGTGCAAAAACCAGCGTATTTATACACAGATTTTTCTGCCTATTTTCGTAGGACAACTATTTTCGAGTTGTTTACGCAATTATGCGAAATCATTTTTCCAAATTTACAAGAGAATAAACAGTAATAATGAAATTTTAAAACATGTCAACTTTACAGAATTAGATATTGATTATTTTAGTATAATTTATTATTATCGCAAAAATTATCGTTAAAAGTTATTAACTAATAAAGTTAATTAAAGTGATAGCAGAATATTTATAATAAAACAATATATATAATAGAATTTTACACAGATTAATAGTTTATCACTAGTACAAGTAATTTCTTAAAAGAAATACTTCTGTAAATTAGTTAATAACATTTGAATTATAATAAATTTTCCTATTTGTAACGGTTTTTTATAAAATCTTATAATGCAAATAATATATATTCGTTAATTACGTGGGGGGGGGGGGGGGGGGTCAATAAGTCTTTACAAAAAGAAGGAAAAAAAGTTGTGCGTGTGTGATTTCTTTTGTTTTTCAACATAATCTCCTTGAAGGTCGATACATTTTATTAAACGGTCTTCCAGTTTTTTAAGCCATCAGAAAAATATGATATCTGAAAACTCTCAAAATAGGCATTTGTTTCGGCGATGACTTCTTCATTCGAAGTGAATCATTGTCCGGTAAGCTATTTTTTAAGGTTAGGAAATAAGAAAAAGTCACTGGGAGCCAAATCAGGCGAATATGGTGGATGGTCAATTAATTCGAACATTAAATCGTTAATTTTTGCCATAGAAACTGCACACGTATTAACTCGAGCATTCTCTTGAAGAGGCATTTTTTTTGTTCAAGTGAGGACATTTTTCTCTGATTTTTTCTTTCAGCTGACCTAATAATGACGCATCATATAGTCCAGTGATCGTCTGGCCCTTTTCCAAGTAATCGATGTAGATGATTCCACACGCATCACAGAAAATCGTGGCCATAATCTTACCAGCTAACTTTACTGTCTTTGCCTTCTTTCGGGCTGATTCTCCTTCGATAATACATTGTTTGGACTGTTCTTCGGTTTCAGGAGTGTAGTGGTGTACCAATGTTTCGTCTACAGTTACGAGTCGACGCTAATTACGACGTATGCGGCAACCATCTTGCTAATATTTTTTTCATCCCAAAATTTTTCATGCAAAATTGAAATGATTGTACCCTTTGATACCCGTGTGGCCTCAACTAATTCTCGCAATTTTAATCTTCTATCACTCGACACCATATCGTGGATTTTGTTGACCATTTCGGGCGTACTCACTTCTACGGGGCGTCCTGAACGAGGTTTATCTTTTGTTGTTGTACGGCCGCGTTTAAATTCATTTACCCAGTTATAAACAGTCTTAAACACAGGGGCAGACTTGCCATGAACGGCGTTCAACTCGACTGTGATTTCTTTTGGTGTAAGGCCTTTCAAATGAAAATGTTTTATCACCGCTCGAAACTCTTTAACCTTTTTTCGAACCTCCTCAACCTTTTTTCAAATAAATCAATAACTTTTTGTTCAACCAACGCTCACAAAAAAACGACTTAATGACTCGAGCTGAAACTTTGTACGATATCTAGTTAGTATTATTGCTTGCCAAAAACATCATAATTTAAGCGTGACGAGCGCCATCTCTTGGATTTTGTAACTTATTAATTAACCCTTATTAACCCTCCCTCATAAGATTATGTAACGGGATGGTTAATTTACAAAATGAGAAATTTATTAACGCATAAACCCCCACGATGCAGCGCTAACCGCAGCTCCATTAAACACGTATAGTTATACGTGTATTCGCCTTTACGTTTGATATTTTCGTTTCAGTGTCTTGTTTCAAACCGAGTTGAACTCACCTTAAGTCACTTGACTTGTAACACTCGATCTATCTTACTTAGGTGTGAGTGACCTAATGCTTAATCCACCTAATCCCTTAGACGAAATCGGATTAAAACTTAAGCCTTTATATATATATTAAGCTAATAGGAAACGAAATGACGTAAACGGCGAATAAAATTAAGAGACAGAGAGAGAGAGAGAGAGAGAGAGAAATCTAACGCTCGGCACGAATACAAAAACATTACGCTCGCGATAGACAAAATACTTTCGAAAGTATTTTGTCGCGCAATAATAGGGAGGTGCATCTACCCTGCGGTGCAATTACGGTGATCAGCCGTAATTGTTGAAGCAAAACTAAAAGGTGTTCCTTGGATCCAAATCAGCTGCGCTGCCTCACTCTTAATACTGCTGCTGTAAAT